TATATATATATATACTATTTTAGGCTTTCATGGCTCATATTGTATGATCTAGCCAGAATATGGAGCTCATTCTCAAGGTGGAAAAAATAAATAAATACAAATGTATTTATAGGACCAACTGACAAGGCAACTGACAAGACAAGTTATGTTATACCGATATAGCAGTCTGTTAATACATGTAATTAGTAATCATTTCAGTTCTTCACATCATGTGTGTTTGTTACTTTAATAGAGCTGTTCTGTTTCTGTGTGCTCAGGTAACTATGAGAGCCTGACTCCACAGGTGGCGTTCATGTTTAATAAAGCTCCCTCCATTGGGCAGATTGCTCTGGCATTTCTTCATGCCTCCTTTGCCTTCAGCGGCTGGAACTTCCTCAACTACGTCACGGAGGAAGTGGTGAATCCGAGGAGGTTCGTTTGATACCACTTTTTAAAACTGACAAAATCTGCTGGAACAATTTTACTGGCGCTTTCTGAGGAAACTGCTGCCATTTACTTACAACTGAATGTTAGTCGCATTACATGACATAAGCTATTTAAAAAATGTACATGTGCACTGTATACATTAAAATCCTGAAATTTCAGGCACAGATGCAATTTTTCACTCAGTCGTTGTCAAACCTACAATTATTATCTGCTGCATAGTTTTTACCCTTTTAACCAGGACCTTTTATCCACACATGCTCTGTGGCTGGATATATATATATATTTACATATTATATGTATGTATATTTACATATTGTATCTATCTATCTATCTATCTATCTATCTATCTATCTATGTTACCACATTGGCATTTTGTTTTTGTTGTAACCAAGTCACCTTTATTAATATAGGGCTTTATACGAAACAGATTGTTTCAAACCAGCTTCGCAGTAATAAACAGGAAAATAAGAGATCAGAGAAATCAATGGTGCAAAATGTGTCAAATATGAGACCAACCCAAGTTCTGCTGTAGAGCAGCCCTAATAAGACAACAGTGTCATTATTCAGCTCCAGCCAGTAGATTCAGTTCAATAACTGTGTAAAGTTTCAGCTATAACTACTTTACATTGTAGCAAAGTGTCATTTCTTCAGTGTTGTCACATGAAAAGATATAATAAAATATTTACAAAAATGTGAGGGGTGCAAAAGTGGATTTTGCATAATAGGTGCCCTTTAAGACATAATTGACTGTGTTTAAGTGAAAATTTGGGTGGCAGCCCACCACTTTAAAGGAAAGAAACGCAATGCGGCATCATGTTTTCATAATCGTTGGAAGCCAAAATCAAAAGCAAAACTAAAATTCTATAAGCCCTAGTCATTAAAGGGGTCATATGATGCGATTTCAATTTTTCCTTTCTCTTTGGAGTGTTACAAGCTCTTGGTGCAT